AACATCAATGGAATGTCAATGGTTGAAAATGACTGTTTTTACAAGAACCTGTTTACATATTTTCTAACATGGCCAATTATCAATTTTAAAGCACATCACAGAACCTATTTTAATTTATTAATTATAACAGTCATCATAGTTCACTATTTTTAGTAGTCACTCAATGAAGAAAATATATGATTGGTTTCTTTTAGATAGTTCACAGAAGCAGAAATATTGCATTTTGTGAAAATTATTTCTTCTCCTTACACATTCTTCTATTAATATTATTGAAAGATTTGCAGTTTCATTTTAAACACTCACTTCTTCACATTGTATTTTTTGTTATCCTCACATCTGTGAAATCGTACTGTGCTTACTCACTGCCCATAATACTAAATAAGTGTCAAGAAGTTACAAAAAGAGAAGTATATGGCCATTCTTTTAAGAAGACTTCATAATTAAGTAGTAATTAAAAAATTCTACAATAATGTATTTTATCTAATTTAGGGACTGTCATATGAAAACATTTTAAAAGTTAATTCATATGTTGTAATAATCATTGAACTGTAAATATTGCCTTCTGCAATAAAAAAGTTTTTTCATCTTACAGAGTAGTTCTTATTAATTATGAAAATTTACTCTGCAAGATCATTTTAAATTATTATTTTAATATGTTAACTTGTAAGTCCTGAAACTGATTTCATAAGTAAAGATTTTATCATACTAGTGCAAACATGTAGCTGTATGTATTTCTGTTGATCTTCACAACAGTTACACATTATTTTTATCAGCATCAACATCCTTATTTTAGGAACAGATTCCTTGTCCTTGTAGTGAGTGAAAAGTTGTATTTCTTCACACTGTGAAGTGCTCCTTCTGGTGATATTCCCTTGCCAGCTACTGTTCGTTTTGCATTACGGTGTGTAATTTACAGCTGCTTTTGTCTATTCTTTTTATGACTTCCCCATTTTTTGTAATATGTCTTCTTTTATTCTTCTGCCAGGTTTTCAGTTCTTTTCTAATTTTCTCATTTCAAATTTTGTTTGTTCTTTTCCTCTTATTGTCTACCTCAAAACTTCATCTAAGCTTCTTTCACACTTCTGGTTTCCTTTGTCACCAAATTTTACATTTTCCTTTGTTATGCACATTTTCACATTTCCCTTTGGCCTGATGCTATGAACTTTCTTAAATGTTTATTTTCTTTTGTGTACAAAGTGCATACATTGAAAACACATATTCTAGGAAAGCAAAGAAAAGAAATAATGAAAACTAAATTGAAGAAATAGTAAGTAGTAAGCACCTATTTTTCAATGATCAATGAGTCTCAATTTCAACAATATATTTGTATTTAATGGAGGAGGAGGGAAGGGGTGGGTGATACCATTATTTTTGTTTCGAGTGACACCATCTGAAGCTACACTTCTGGAAGTAGTAACTCAACATCAGAATGGAGTGTCTCTTGTTCCTTGCAATACATTGTGGAATTAAAGGCAGACCTACTTCTAAACCAAATGTATCACTTAAAATTGTACTTAAAATTGAAAGTAATATATAAATTTTGAAAAACTATTATTCAAAACATGGCTATTAAAGTATTGGAATATGCAAAAATAATGTGTTTTCCTTAAGTACGGTAAACTACGTATTTACCCAAAAATACGGACAAATATGGGTAATCTACTCGGTTTCAAATCACTTCAAAAAGCCTAATTTATTAAGATATGATACAAATTTTATTGTAGTAATTAATAAACATACAAATATGTAAATATATACAAATCCTAGCTCTGTTTATTTCTATCATTGAATCCTGGCATAAGCTTGTATATTTTTCACTGAATGTACTGGTACTGTTTCACTTAAAATTGCCCATAATTTCTGGTTATCACACTGTCATAGAACTTTACAAAGTGAATGAACAATACATACATTGTCCATCTTTTGTAGTCATTTTCAGTTTTTATAAAACTTTATACTCTTCTCTTTGTGTTCATATGATGTCTCTCCCCAGTTAATTTACATACATTCGCAGTTATTCCTCCTTATTTCTCTGTTGTTGTTTTTTTCCCAACTTTGCACAATTTTGTTTCAATGTGAAACGAACCTCCACAATTTTTATTTGTAGGTATTGAAAAAAAAAAATTATGAATTTTTTTATTTCATGGTTTTGAGCTTCTTCTTTTATTCTTTTGGTGGCTCATTCCTCAACTCTCTTTTGTTGTGATGAGAATTGCTATTTTTGTTTTTTCTGTCTTTTCTTATGGACATTTGGCCATAAACCTATCTTAGACAGACATGGAAAGAGGATACTGTAAAATTTCTTGATGTACACAAAAAGTCTAAATTGTTTAAAAATGGTTGTGTTATTAAAACAAGATCACTGCATGATTATTACACTTTAATAATTTTGGATATTAAAACCCTCTTGACAATAATAACATTTTGAGGTTTGTTTGACCGCATCTTCAGGTTTAAATGATTTCACTTTCATTACACAGATTAGTGTCAGATTTAAAGAATAAATAATGACTGCAGATGTTATTAGTAGGCATAGAGTTATCAGGAGGCATGACTTCATGATAGAGAAACCACCTATGGGTTTAAACAGACTGGGTTTTTTAGACTTTTAGTGCACATCAAGAAACTTTACAATATCATCTTTCCACATCCACTTAATAAAAGGCCAAATGCCCATAAGAAATTATTTTCAAAAAACTTGCAGACAACTAGAGACTAAAAGACATTTAAGTTTTCCAGCTTTTCTCTTTTTCAACTTCTTTTTTACTATGTTCTTTCAGTTTTGTCCATAATTTTTATTAATAACATTTATTAATAGCCATATTCATTGTTTTCTTAATGATACCGTTGCATTTTTAGTTTCATTAATAAACTAGAGATACAAGAACTTGAAAACTTAGAAATATAGAAACTCATTGAAATTTAAAAAAATTTACCAAAGATAATAACATGTCACTGAGTTGCATGAAAAGGGTGTATAAGAAATCATAGAAATTTATGAATGTTATAAGAAATGTGTTCAAGTTGAAATGAAATCAAGTAAGATCACATTAATTTGCTTGAATCATGCATTTTCTGGTTACTTCAAAGTTTTTGAAGCTTTGAAATTTTTTTATGTAGTCTGAGGTAATGAGAACAGGAAGATAGGCAAGTGTCATTTCAAAACAATTTTAGATACGTGCAATATTCTGATTGGAGGAAATGTGATATTCCAAGAAAAAGTGGTGCAGCAATTTATTATTGTTGTTTGAAGTCCTATTCCTTTTCCTATTACATTATTTTCTGCATTAACATAAATTTTAAGTTTCTTTTCGCACAAATTTGGTTTCATCCTTTTACCATCATTTATTTCCCAATAACTCTAAAAATTAATTCAATCTTATGATATTAAATACTCTGAAACATTTTTTAATTTGTTATAAAACTGTTCATAAATGACAAAGAATAACCTTTTTCTAAGTGATTACATGAACTAGAAAATGAAAAACTTGAAAATAATAATCACACACACAATATTATTTAAACTCCTAACAAATGAGCAAGGATGTTTCTGTGATTAATGTGACATTCTCTTCATGAAGCTATCCTTATAAAAAATGTATTTCTTTTCATTCCATTTCTTTATTCTAATTCGAATATATTTAGAGTATTACTCAATAGTTGGGCAGATTTTGTAACTTCAGACCATTACTGTAGTAAATTATTAAATAATTTTTTAAAAATATTTTAGTAACATACTATAACATACAATAAGGCGATTGTTTGACATATGTTCTACATATTAATAAACAACCATGAAATTAAAATCAATAAATTGCAAATGAATATAAAACTTATGCAAGTAAAATATTTTCATTAGAAATTATCTTTATATTGTGAAACAATATTAGAGAACTCATAATTATTATTTTTGATGAATAATATTTGAAATTTTGTCATATGTAGAATTAAAATCAAGGCTACTGCCAAGATAGTGCAGTCGATTTTCAATTTTTTTTACATTTATTTTTTTCTATTTTGGTGTTGGACTATACAGGTTTCTAATATAAATTATTTTTTAGTTTATTAGATATTAATGAGAATTCTTCAAACAGGAATACGTAAATTCAAGATATGACGAAGAAAAATTTAAATATAAATTCTGTAAGAAACTTTCTTTCTTTCTTTCATTTGAATGCTTTTGTTAATAACTATCTTTGTTTTGTATTATTTCTGTATTTTAAAATAGATGTATTTTTGGAACTATCAAGTACCAAGTTTAACAATTTATTTTTGTGTACATTCAGAAGCTATATCTTTTAGAGAATATATTCAAAGAAATAAGTAGTAAACATCTATAGGGAAATGTGATGTAAGGATGGATTTGGAGTATACAAAAATTACTTGTTAAATAAATAACCAATTTGCATGTAATAAAGTAGAACATTTTTTTATTACATATAATTATTATTTTTTATACAAATCTTTAAAAGTAATAATTATTAGGTCATCTAGTTTTGTTTTCCATGAGTCAAGTCTTTTATTACAGTCATTTATTCAAACACAAAATATTTGTCTGATTAAGAGATATCCAACGACGTTCATTAAATATATGTATTGAATAATTTAAGTCTACTTATAATAATACTATACTATCTTATAATATTTTTATATGACTTATAAAATAATTTTATATTGTAAATGAGTTGCGGACTTCCTAGGTTGACAAGCGTTTCATACATGGCGCACAAGAGCAGTGATTCATGGGAACAAATAAACATCGAAACTAGCAGTGCAAGCAACGTTATGGATGTTTTTCATAACCAAACAAATCAATATTCTAAGTAATTTAAAGAAGTATGTTGAAGTTTAATTATAATTTTATCATGAACTAATATTTTCAAAATGTTGTAGTATACAGAACGTAACGATTCATTTTTTTTCAATTTTTCAACTGACATTTCTCTGCGGTATTCGTTTGTTGGCATCCTTGAATCGTGAATGTCCTGTTTTTGCTCTCGAGTGTCAGTCGGTGTCTCGGGCTCCTTAGTCGATGAGGAGCGGAAGAGAGTAGCGTGTGGATTCAATGTTTGTTTGAAACGTGTGTTAATTGTGTGTTGTATGTAGTTTGTGACATTTTGCTTCCGAAGAGTGGTTCCTGATGGTTGTGAAACCAAGTGTTGGATGTTCGTCGAATAACAGAGATTCATTGTATGAGTGTCGTTAAGAGCTGACATGACACTTGAAGATCCCTTCTTTGTAGTGAAAGAGTAAGTTGTTATTAAAATATTATACATTTCCCGTTTTTCGCGTAGTTTAATATCTTGATTATGTATGAGAAAAATGGAATAATTTTAATGTTTAATTGTATCACAAATTTGGAAGCAATTTATCGGGCTTTTAAAGGGCATGTAAATTCACTTGCTCCTTATTATTTATTATTTTCGTTGGCGGGCATTAGTTTATTATGTCTCCAATTGTTTAACGAAAATGAAAAGGATTCAGCGATTTTTTATCATTATTTCAGTGAAGTTTGCAAAGCACTGAACAAAACTCGAGGGCTGTACAGGCGTTGGCTGGAACTTCACGACGACACAAGTAACAACGTCTCCAAAGATGAATTGGAGTGGACTACTACAGAACTGCGAAACGCCCTTCGCAGCATCGAGTGGGATATAGAAGATCTTGAAGATACTATTGATATCCTTTTATTTACCTGTGGCATATATTGAACGCCTGATTATGTAAGTGGGTTTTCATTTACTTTATTGCTTCCTACTTGTGGGTACTCTTCAGATCATGTTTGGTGTTATTATTTTTGGCTCGTGTAGTTACAGTTTGCCTGACACGATTTTTTTGAACGATACACGGTTCTTGATATTAAGAATCCAAATGAAATGTCAGATGCTATAATTGAGAAACTTCTCGGGAATTACCAGCATGACATTACACCAGCATGCCAAGTTCGTTGCAAAGCCTATTTTAAGATCCTACATGACAAGTGGGCGAACATCCCCGATTTGGCGGAGCGCCCAGCATGATGTAGGGTTGGGTTGCCTCGAGTTACAGCTTTGTGCCGACGCTCTTTTCAGCGGGTTTCAATGCATTCGTGATGGTTTTCAATCGTTGTTCTTGCCGAGAGTGGTCTCGTGGCTCGAATTTCCATCTCGCCGCTGAACATGGGTTGTAGGTTGTATTCTGCTCCTCATTCCTTCATTTCTTTTCTCCGGCATACAATGAGCAGCTGTGCGAGCTCTGACAGATGAAACGCGAACTGCGGCTCCATAGCGACAGAATCCTCTACCCTTCCCCACACCTCCTCGTCTCATGTGTAGTATATTCGCCGTGTTTTCCTTTCTTTCGAGAAGATTCCTGAAACTCGTAAATCAGCTGGATAATTATCTAGCTCATCAAATTATAATTTTTTATATCTCCGTCTCCTCCGAATCGTCTTAATCATGTTATGCCCTTTTGTGATGAGTTCTATTTTATTGTTGTTTTAATGTCAATATTGAAGCTCCTTCTGAACTCGGTTTCTTCGAACTAGTTTAAATGCGAAGGCCTCTTGTTGTGCTTGTTATTGGTTTTTAATATCGATGCATAGTGTCTGTGAATTAATGTCACTTCCCTTCGTGTTACAAGATATATACTACCCCCCGTAACACGCGCTGAAATATTTTCTACATTTCTAGCTTCACCATTATGTTCATTGTCTGTCTCTGTTCAGGGTCTAATAAGTAATATTTACTTGAAACCAGGATTATATTTTGATTTGCGAACCAAGAAACGATTGATAATAACTTTTTACCCCGTTTTATAAGTATACCATAGTACTAAACAAACATCACATAGGAAATTCAATTTATACGAAGTGCCCTCTCTTTAAGTGGCACCGTGTCAGTACAAAGGGCGTTACTTGTGGCCAGCTATTGACATGCTATTGAGATACACTACATTTGCCAGAACTGCGTGCAAACATGACACAACCTTAACATGGCGCAATGGATTTCGTGTACTCGTTTTTTCGATAACTAGAGAAATGTCATTGGGAGACTTACACTTCTTCTGGGAATCTCATGCGCAAATTGTGGACATGTGCGTTTTATTAACGCTTATTATCTCGAACTGAAGGTACTGGTGTCCGGGCGATGCCAATACATAAGTGATAGTGGAAAACTATTGTGAGAAATGATCGCCAATATTATCGTATTTGAGGTTTCATAAAAAGATTGAAGGAGACAAAATTTGCTTCGAACACATCGTTGCATTGCTTGTTTGCTTTTCGATTGGATTGGCTTACAGTTATTTATGTGCTATACTTTTTATATTTTAAGAGATGCGTCAAAATGTCACTGCGTTATGGATTCCTGTCGTCTACGTCTTGTGTGAAAATGGCAGAACACGTAGAATATAGATTCTTTTACTCGTCTTTATTTTGTAAAATGCAGCATATAGACATTGTATTAATTTGGTGGAAGTGTAACAAATCAGATTATAATTGTTTCAAATCTTTCACAAGTTTTAGGAGTACAGCAGGGAATCCATAAACGGTAGTTGGTAGTTGAAGAATTTGCACCTATTGCACCATCTTTTCTGCTGCACAGCTGTTTCTATACAATTAGACTGTACCGAGCACCCAAAAGGAAAGTAATATTAATTTTAACAACGGCATTTAGTGTATTATTTTACCATTTGGATTGTATAGTTCTAAAGAACCTGTAACAAGTATTGTACTTCAGTTTATGGGTCAATGACCACCATCTCGATCACGTTTTCACCCAGATCCTTGAGCAAAGATAGCCCCTTGTTTTTCTTCTGGACATAGATGTAACTTCAATTAAACTTCTCCCCATAGCACGTCACATACAGTTTTTAACTGTTTCTGACGTAAATAAATGAAGAAATAAATAAAATTACCTGGGCTTGACGCTTGACCGGCTGGAGAAGTGTAACAGTGAGACTGACGGCCGATTCCACTGTCCCGCTACCGTAAGTTAACGAAAACGGAAGATTTTATGATTCTGATTCCCCCATCTATTTCCCCTTGTAAATCATACTGAACACAAGATACGTGTCATGGAAACTAGGGTGATGGAGAAAGGCATAAAGCCATAGACCAATGCTCCAGCACCTTTACTTAAGTCTGAAGTGACACATTTCATTTTTGCTTTGTTTTATTGCAAAGCTGCATGCATCTTTTCGTCACCTGTCCCAATCTTAATTATCATCGGAACCTGCTTCAACAGAAATCATTCCTGTTATATGTGCCAAGTTAGGACCCAAAAGTTTCTAATCTTGTGTTCCGCTAAACACACAAACCACTATAAAGACATTACGGTAAAAAAACAACATATTTCAGTCTCAGGAATCCCCAAAGCAGATTTCACTGTCGAAATTCTGACCTCGAAATTTTGGACCAACCCAATTGTACATGGAGCGGGAGAAAAGTGTGGGTGGGTGTATATATGTATGTATGTCTCTCTCTCTCTTATATATATATATATATATATATATATATATATATATATATATATATATAATCGTCTCTACATGGAGTGGAAGTGTTGGAATCGATCCAAAAAAATCATCAAAGTCGGGATTTCGGTGATAAAACTAGTTTTGACGTTCTCTAAGATGAAAAAGAGATGATTTTGTTTGGGAGGATGAATGAGTGTTTCGCGTAACTCAGGCAGATGAGGAATTTTTGGAACTCCTACTTCGTACACAAGTCTGCAGAAAGATCTGTTAGTACCATTTCAAAACCGATTAAGAATGAAGATTGGTGCTGGTGACGAAAATATACATGCAGGTAGTTTTACCAAAAAAATGATGCTAAAATAGTAAACCTTGCCTATTTGACCTAAACTTTTAGAGCTGGAACAATGGGAAAAAGTGTTCTCAGTCCCCAACCCACTCATTCCGTGGTCCATGTGATTTACTTGGGTGCAATATGTAGGGAAGTAGATGCTATTTTTTAAATGAAAAGTACCTAAAACCTTAATTTTTGTTTGACTTAACTGGCGGTAGCGAGTTCAGTTGGATCGGCCATGAAGGAAGTTTACGATACTGGCTTACCATTAATTCTTATACTTCCTCCAAATGATTACAATATCCAACTTATGCATTTCACCAGACAAGGAAAAGTTTCGGTATGCCACGTACCTCCTTGTTTGCATTTACCATATATTAAATGGCTGCTGGGAAACTCCGCTAAGATCTCGTTCAAGGGTCGTTGCATGGCAATCCTGGGCAGACCTGTGGCCAGGGAGAGATCTTGGAGCCCCTTCCGAAATAAAAAAAACAACAAAAAACATTAATATTGTGCTTTCATGGTGTTGCTTGTTAGTTATAAATATTACGTGATAATTATTTACGAAATCAGTATCGCAATACATCTTTATCATATATAAAATATACGAGAATTATCAAACGATGCCCTTAGACAGAGTTTGATAACTAATCGAGTAATGTAATAAGATGTTATGATGTGCATACCGTACATTTTATTCACTCTAAAAATTCCAGTGTGCTGTAGTTTTTCGTTTCTATTTGATTATTCATCAATTCAATCAATCAATTCAAAATTATGTTTTTATAGGATTATTTAAGAATATCCTAGAGATAACTGACGAAGAATTGTGCCAATCGATTTGTCTTGTGGAGAGGAATCGATCATCTGTGTAGGTGCCGTGAATGATCCAAAACGCATAATAGTTGCTTAAAATACCGAGTCATTTGTTGGAATCTTCTGGATGGATCATCAAAAATGTAAACACTTCTTCACCAAGAGACCGAGACGCGTCGAATGACCTCGTGTGTCTCCGGTGGATCGGAACGGGTGTAACCACGAGTGACGAACAGGCGCATCTTGCTTGGATATTATGAGTGGTTCAGTACCAGAGCTGCCTAACCCACGAAAAAAGTGAAGTCCGTCATTCCTGTGAAGAACGTCGCCGAATGATGCTCTATTAGTGCCGTTATTCTTTATCTTATGAACGAATGCATGAATGAATTGGCACAAACAGACATTAACCATTCATTCATTCATTCATTCACGAGGATTAAATCTTAAATCACGAGGTTTAAAACTTATACAACTGATAGTTCAGAGCCATGCTGTAGAGGAAATGTGCCTTCACAACCTAGTGGGTTTGGCACCTCTGGGACTGATCCACTCAACTAAGAGTTGCGAAACTGATTAGATTGGTAAATAGTGAGACATTGATTATATAGAACAGTGACCTTCATATGACTCTAATTACGACGCTAATCCCAGTTTCGTAAAGTTTGACTTTACATAATTTAGATGGATAAACAAATTTTACCGTTACAGAGTAATCTTTAAACTTTTTTAAAAATTAAACACGTTTTAAATTTTAATATACATCAAAATGCAATTTCTGTTGATAAGGGGAGGCTAAGAAATTAAAGAATTCTTAATTTATTGAATTCGACTAATTATTTTGAATATACATAGTAAATAATCGCAAGAATACGGAAGAAAGCAAATTTACTGACAAAAATTTCTAAATGCAAATAGTAATAAAAGGAATTGAAAAAACTACCCTACTTTGTAACCCATCGTATAAAAACAAAGTACTCTGTGTGTGCCGAAAATTCTAAGTCAGCTCGGACTTTTCAGGTAATTAGTTTTAATTTATTAATTCAGGTAATTAATTTTTTAAAATTCAAATCTTAAGAGGGTTGTCATCACTCCTACTAGCTTATCGTGTTTCCTTGTGGG